GCAACTCTGCACCCCTACTCCTATGCCAAGAGATACCAGTTTGCCACAAGTGGAACAGGGGTGTCTGGTGTGTAGAGGCCGGGTGCTGCTCAGCACTCTGCAACACACACTCCACAGCGACACACACCCTCCACAGCGCATCGCCATCCCACCTCGAATGTCATAGTGCTGAGGTCGAGAAACCCTGGGCGGGAGATGCAATAAGGATAAAGCGAGTGCACCATGCCGGCCCAAAGTAGGAGTTCGGCCCCAGAAGCCTCTTTTTCTTTCCTGCTCTGTCACCAGGAGCCAGGAGTGGGGAGGGGGCCTCGATTCTAGCCAAGACATGCAGCGTGAGAGCGGCCCTGAGCTCACGTCAGAGCAGACAGTGGCTGTGGAGGACAGCCGGGCAGCCAGGGCACGTGGGCAATGTCTAGAGCAGCACAGTGGCTAGTACAGCAAATGGTCAATCATGTGGGGGTTCTGTATAGACTCGGCCCCTAACAAACCCTAAGGTCCCCCAGATTCCCAGGGCCAGAAATGGAGTCGCTTCCATACTGGCCACAGGCTCCTCCAACTTTCAAACCAGATAAAGTGGACGTTTTAGACAGACAGCCGAGGAGCTTCCGAGCTCTCTGCTGTGCGGGCGGCCTGGGCTGCTGGGCAGCGCTGCCACGCAGACACGCGGTGTGGACGAAGGACTGTGACTCAGCTGGGCTGGTGAGGACGAGCAGGCCCACATACATGCTCCTCCCGTGTCTTTGGCAAGGATCTGCACGTCATAGGGTTAGAGGATCCCAAGAAGACAGAGATCCATGCATTTTCATTATTCATCAGAAATGTTTCAATTCTAGGACCAGCAGATGGAGAAATGGTTGTGTCACTGGACTCCCACATGGCCGACCTCAGTTTGAATCCTGGACCTGGTGACTTGAAACTCACTCCAGGCACATGTATATGTGCATGCCCAAAGCCCCGAGAGGAGAATGGAGGAGAACGGATTGCAGCATGGCCATCCCCCCAGGGGTGGTTTCTCGCTTTCTGCCTCTCTGTCTCTCTGGCAAGCATATGTGCCCTCTAGCAAAACTCTCTCTTAAAAAAAAGGGGCAAGGGAGGGAAATCCTTTGATTCTACTCAGTGAAGACTCTCTGTGCTCCTAGACTGGCCGGGGAATTCCCTTTCGGGAGTCACTCTGTTAGAAACCTCTGTCTATAGTAGTCTCTATCGCATGCCAAGAGCCATTTCTCTTATTAACATGAGTAAATGCACGCTTTTGCACCAATCTGTGACAGACGAACCTGTCCTCTGAGCATGTCTGGAGAACCAGTGACCACGCGTAGGCCTGGGCCCTACTTCCCCCAGGAAGCTCCCTTCCCCCAGGAAGCCACAGGACAACTCCCGCCTCAGCTCCTGCAGCCTGCGTCCTCGCCGCTGGTCCCTGAACACCACGATCTCCCCTGACTTGCCGTTTGTTCCGTGTGCACACATCTATCCTCTCGTGTAACTCTAAGATGCCCTTTGGGTGCTGTAGGGGCTGAGCCTGTAGTGGTGGCCTCACAGAAGCATGGGTGTTCATGGCTACATCATCTGAAAGTCTTCTCATGCACACTCCTTGGTGCAACGCGAGTAGCTTCCACCCTGAGCACTGACTCCTGGGGATGCCTGGCCCTTCTCCAAGCCGACAGTTGAGGAAATCAGGTTATCAAGTGAAAGCAGAGCAGAGCTTCTGGCTGTTTCTGAGTAGGCAAGCTTTCAAAACCCTCACCAGGTTAAGCTGGTAGCATCCCCACACCCTTGGTCTCTGAAAAAACACAGAACCATTGTGTACAGAGCCAAATGGATTACCAAAAAGGACGCCCGAAGATGCAGTGTCTATCCAAGAACACAGGAAAATAAACAATTCTGCAAAGACCCTGAAACCAGGAAAAGTCTGAAGCATTCAACTGATGAACGTAGAAAATGCTACCTAGCAGTATATCGATCACTTGACCACCCTGAGCGTAAAATCACCCCAGTGACATGTGGCAATGAAATCCATGACAAGCCATGCTGTCAGGAGCCACCTCCTGCTGGACAGTAGGACTCAGCCAAAAGGGACGTGGCAATCTGTGCTGGGGATTCTTCAGTTTCCATTGACAGTATTGACAGGTTATAAATAATAGTGTCGGGAAAAATAAATCTCAGAAGGCGTGATTTCTAAGCTCCTAAGTCTGTGACTCTGTCCGAGTTAGGCAGTTTTAATTTTCTCTGAACTATGTGTCTTCTAGTTCCCCATTTTTAAAGTAACAAATCTAAACTAATTAAATTATGGGTAGTTGAGACTATCAAAATAACTACTGTGAGAACGGAGGAAGTCCCTCACTCCTAGAAGTGGGCCTGCGGCTGAAGCCACTGGGTTTATACTCTGGATTCGAAGCCTGCCCTCCGTTCTCCACTTGCACCTGCTTAGCGTTTCTGGGCTGGAGTGCCCTGCGAGTGGCCTTCGGGAGGCAGACGGACCAGCATCCTCGTTAGCTGCCTCTGGGACGAGGGAAATACCCTAGCTCAGTCTGGCTCTGGGACGAGCATTCTCATCATTGCACTGATTATTCTCACAATACTTCTAAGACAATAAGCGGAAGTTTGAAATAGCTGTCGTGGGAGGAAAGAGGCTTAGCCCTTCTCAATGCTGTGGGAGCCATAGGACCTGAAATGTTTACGCTCCTGATGAGAAAAGATAGCTCTTCTCTATTTCTGTTAAAATAATAGAATACCAGTCATTTAGCTTTTGCCCCAGACTTCCGGAAGCCTTCTCAATCCACTGAATAATTATAGTCTAAAACACAATTTCAGAACGTCCCGACCTGGAGCTTGCCAACAGTGTATTGAGTATTCTTTACGGAACAATAGGACAAAACTATCCCAAGGGGGCGATGAGAAGACTGAGTGTTGAGGGGCAGGTCCGACCAGGCAAAATCTCAGCCGGGCTCTGATGCAGTGACCTAAGGAGAGTCCTCCTGAGGCTCGGCCCAGGGGCAGTGGAACCCTCCACCTTCCATCCCAGCCCCAGCCTTGGAATGCTGACGTTTTCCAGCTTCAAGGCTTACAAGGGCCCAGCAGGAGGCCAGCAGGAAGCCTCCTCAGCACAAAGAACAGCTCACCCTGAGCACACTTCTCTCCCTCCTGTGCACCTCCTACCAGTCTTCTGTCCAAAGCCCAGGGCAGGCTTTGGTGTCCTAACAGGCCTCTTCACCAACTGTGCTGCCCACGGCAAGGTTTCTTCCACAGGCAGCTTTGAAATAAAATGCTCGAAGGCCTTTCCTGCTGGGTGTAGGTGCTTGCCTCCACCTAGTGGAGCAGCGATGCCTGCTGCCCTGAGGGCACAGTGGCTGAATGCAGCAGCTGGGTCCCAGGCTGGAGAAAGTCAGCCAAATATGGCATAGCTCCCCCGGACAAATCTGCCTCATTAGGTTATGACTTGGGTGGATTCGGGTGAGAGTTCAAATTAATTAGGCTTAAAAACATAAATTCATAGGAACATACAAAATAGTATATAAAGTCTGAGATCTTTTGGAGCTGGGGAGGGTCATGGGTCTGACCCAGGTGAAGAGGGGCCCAGCAGACCATGCTGAGGACTGCAAACTCTGCCTGCCCCCCAACTCCTGGGGCTTGGAAAGTTGCAAGGAAAATCAGGTGATATTGATGTGGGCCTCAATTTCTGATTTGCTGTCGCTCCAAAGTTGTATGGGTTGTCGAATAAGTCATGACGCATTTTTGCGTAGAAAAACAGAAAAACACATCAGGACTTTTCCAACAGCCTAATAGTTTTTGTAGCTTTAAGGACTCCTTTATTAATTCAGTATGTTTGTGTGTACGATTCAAGGTAAATGTTTTTTGAAGTCTTTGTGCTGGGAGAAGTACTTGGCTTTTGAAGTTTACAGATAACTTCAAAGTGCACATCGGGCTGCCTAGACCAAGTCCCCAAGTAGGAGGAGAAGCAGAGCATGAAGGTGAAGCCTGGCCGGTCGTGAGGGAGTAAAACCGCTTTCACGGGCTGCACTCACCCAAAAGCGGCCTGGCATGCTAGTCCCACTGTCAGGCTTCGTTTTTAAAATAAGGATGTTGGTATTTCAGTAAATAGTGGAAAAGGAACAATTTTTTGTAAAGCGTAATTTGCTGAATTTCCAAGGTGTGAGTCTGGGAGCCATTAAAACCTCCGGCGTGCCACGAGGAAGGTCGGAATTCCCAAGCCGGCCAGCTGACACCTGCAGCCCCGAGCATGGTAAAAGCTGCAACGTGCGTGCACCCTACAGGCCTCCCCGGCCGTGCCCTCCTGCAGTGGAGGTGCGGGGGCGGGGGGTGTTGGGGTGGTGTGGCCTCTCTCTACATCGGCTTTCCACAGTGACTCCCAAGCAGGGCCAGGATGCCAAAGTGTCCCATGAGTGAAAACAAACAGACGATGCCCCGCTGCAGCCAGCAGAAATGCACAGGCGCAGCCTGCCTCCCAGGGAAAGGCCTATCCCTCCGGGTGCTTAAACGAGGGGCGGGGGACCAGGTTGTCGTTCACACTTGGGAAACAATACGGACTTAGGATTTTTATAAATAACGCTAGCGGAGTACGTCACAGATAGAAAGTTATTTTAAAATTCTAATTTGAATGGAAGACCTCAAATTGACTAGAAACTATTTTCTTTTTACTGAAGAAAAAAAAAGCTAGAAGTAGTTTTTGTACCTCAATTTCTGAAAGTACAACTGAGTCAGCAGACTTCTTGCCAATACGCTTGTTCCTTCTAGAGTCAAAAAGATAGAAAAAAATCCCTTTCCTACACTACTTGTCACTAATTACTACCATCTTTGGAGAACAGCCACGGTAACAGTAATACTGTTCAGAAATAATGTTAGTGATACCGCTCTGGAGAACTGATTAAACCGGTAGCGAGGTTTGGCATGGACGGCTAACTATCCGGTCGCTTTCCATAGCTTCTGAAGATGACTGGGCGGGGTGGGCCCGGGGTGCTGGTGTCGGCGTCCTGGAGACTCACCTTTTGTCCCTTCACGCCATGGCAGTCGCACTTTCCACAGCCAGAGCCTGCACAGCCACCCTGGGGAGAGAAGAAAGCATCTTTAAGTAGAAGAACACTTTCAGACAGAGGTCAGCGCCGCAACTAGGGTGATTTGGGTCCCTTCACCTATTTATTTATTTATTTTAAAGAGATTTTTGCTCTAAGGTGCATGAGCTCGCCAGAGAGACAGAAAGCAAGAAATCACCCCCTGGGGAGATTGTCATGCCACAATCCCTTCTCTTCCATTCTCCACTCAGGGTCTTGGGTATGCACACACACACCCCCGCATGAGCTTTAAGCCGCCGGGTCCAGGACTTGAACCGCATTCAGCCATGAAGGAGTCCAACGATGTAACCGTTCCACCATCTGCTGGTCCCCTCCTTCACATATTTTTGAGGGAAGTCCCGCATAAGAGCCTAAGTGACTGGCTGGCCGCCTTGTTTTAAGGAGCCCTTCCGCATTGCCCTGCAGTGCGTCTCTTGCCTGAACCAAGGCAGTGATCCTTGAGTGACGCAAATCACAGCATTGCTTAGTCTGAGAAGCGAAGGTGTCACCTCGACCTTCCGTCCTTTGTCAATTCTTATCTCACATGGACTCGCTCAGGGATTACTGTGACATGATACCACCCATTTTTGAAAGGCTACAAAAATGTCCTGCTCCCGACTTCGGAGTTTCAGACCTGAGACCACGCGAGACCAGGGGTGCCAGGGCGTGGAGCCACACTTCGCCCGTCCATGCCCAGTGCCGTGTGCATGGTGCGAGAAACACCCACACGGAGAGGACACGTGGCTGAGCCAAGTGGGAAGCCCAACTCTTCAAGGACTGAGCTTTGAATTCAACCAAGGGTTAAAGGTTCAACTGAAGAACACTCAACAACAAAATGCTCTTGGAGCTCATGCCTAACACAAAAGCACACGCTAAAACATGCAAGAGCGCCGGCATGCAATGGAAGTTGGCGGGCAAGGCCTGCATGGGCTCACGTGCCACCAGGCGCCGCGGCCCGCTGCCCCTACTCAATGGCTGACCCTGGTTCGAGGCAGGTGCAGGGCCTCCCCTTTTCCACGTCTCACGCTCTACCGGTTCAGTTACCTGTGGTCAGCCTCAGTCTGAAAACAAGGGCGGAAGCAACAGCCCATCAGAGACCTGGGGAGAGCAAGCCCACACTGCTGCTCACGGTCAGCTGTTGCTGTTTCTCACTGTACGGTATTATCACGGGACACATGCGGAGGAGAAGACAGCTCAGGCCTTGGCCAAGGGCTGACTGCTGTCCTGCACCCCATTTCACAGACGTTGAACTGAAACAGGAGGGTGACGTTAGAGCCTCACCTGGCCTCCCACATGGAAGACCGCCGGCTTGTTACAGATACGCATGCGCAGGCACACACACACGCACATCCACTGGGCATTCCCTCCGAGAAATCCACACTTAAAACACAATAACGTGGTTATTGTGGCCAGACGTGAAGGCACCTGAGCTGCATAAATTAGTCAATAAGCTTAGAGGTACAAAATTTGTACCTATATTTTGCTTCAGGTGATCATTTTCTTGAAAGTAAAAGCAATTAATGGCGCTGTGATCATGTGACATCTGTCTTTTTAACATCCCCAGGCCTTCACTCCACTGCCATGGAGACCTTCTGCAGGAAACAATTACATCTGGAGATATTTATTTTAATAAAGTTACATCGGAACAAGTGCCTCGGAGACAGTGAGCTGTTTTTAATTTTCCGTCTTGGCAATGGGAACAATTGACAAGAGCCCAAACAAACCCCAGAGATTAGGGATCTGCTTCTATCTCTGACTCACACTGGAGGCCATTTTCAACATCCACTCTCTTCACCTCCTGACATTTCAAAGCAATCCATGTGCACAGTTGTGCTTCATAATCTGGGTTTGGGTGACCACTCATTTATTCATTTACTTATGTATTTTTTATTTTTATTTTTTGGAGAGGTTTTTGCTATAGGGCATGTGCATTCACTAGAAAGACAGAGAGAGACAGAGAGACAGAAAGCAAGAAATCACTCCCCAGAGGTGATGGCCACACCACAATCCCTTCTCCTCCATTCTCCTCTTGGGATCTTGGGCACACACGCACATGCACCCGGCATGAGTTTAAGCCACCAGGTCTAGGACTCAAAGCATGCTCAACTACATGGGAGTCCAATGACAGAGCCATTACTCCAACTGCTGGTCCCAATCACTCAGTTGTTTAAAGAGATGAGACCAAAATCTTTAGCCTGAGCTCCAAAAGTTCTAAAATCCATAGATAGGAGTTCTGGGAGACCTCAGCAGCTCGACTAACTCAGCTAGGGCCATCCCATGCCTGATCCCCAGGCAAGGGTCAACCGCTCCTTACTCTAATTACTGTTGAACATTATAATGGATGAGGAAAGTGGTAGGCGCTGTGAGGGGTGGTGGCCCTCTCTACCCAGCCAGCCTTAAGCACCAGTCAAAGATGACAGGCCCCCACAGTATGCCAAGGAGGAGCCCTTGGAGTGGGACATTCTGTGTGTTTCTCAGGGTTCTTTTTTCTTGCACTGCCAGAGGGTGCATGTTTTCAAGCTGCTGGGCTGGGGTTCGAACAGCAGTCAGCCATCTGGGATCCAGCTCCCTTGCCCATCTGCTCACAGGCTGCCCAAGAATTCTTTACCTTAATGTCCCCAGCCCAACCTCGGCTCTTTGTGGGTGGCCCAGAGCCTTGCACTGAGCCAGGTGTACACTGGCACATAGATTATGAAGCCCACATGAATGGGCCATCCTTGTGGCCTGGTGGTTAAGGGAGTCAGATCCCACATGGCCAACAGCACAGTTCAAATCCCAACCGCAGCAGCCGGAAAGATACTCCAGGCCAAAAATCACGGCAGGGTGGAGAAGTGGAGGAGAGGGGATTATGATACAACCATGTCCCATGGGGTGTGTGTGTGGGGTGTTTTCTCACTCTCCCTCTCCCTCTCTCTTTCTCTCTGATAAGCACATATACCCTCTAACCAAAAAAAAAAAAAAAAAGGTACTAATTATACAATGACACGTAAGCAATTGTTGGGTCCCTCCCAATTTCAGAGCCGTTAGGGCATTATAACGGATGAGGAAAGTGGTAGACGGGGTGAGGGGTGCTGGTGGCCCTCTCCACTTAGCCAGCCTTAAGTACCAATCGAAGTTGACAGGCCAGCGACACTGCGGACCTCAGCTCACAGCTCAGAGGACACGCTTCGGGGAGGGAACAGGGCAGGCTGAGGGTCCTGGGGAGGGAGGTGCGAGACGCCCACACTGCCTGGAGAGGCCACCCAACAGCCAGGTTGCCCAGACCCCACCCGCCCCAGGAGAAAAGCCCAGAAGGGGAGAGGCCAGGCCCTGAGGGAGGGGACACCTCCCTACTGGCTCAGGGCAGGGCCTAGCCACCCCCCTGCCCTGAGATGCACCGCTCTGCTCCTCAAAGGGCTCTAGCCTTCACCCTACTCCTGCAGATGTTGAAAGGAAAACTCAGCCAGCTTAAGACCCATGTATTTGCAGAGCTCCTTTAGGAAAGGCCACCAGTTGACCACGCCCAGCCGGCGGAACCTCGATGACAGCCTGAAGTAGCAGGGACTTCTACCGACAGACCAAGAGGGGCATCTTCGAAATGTCAGATTAAGCAGAGACGCAAGGAGGAGTATGGGAAGGGCCAAGTGGCGATTGGGTGTTTCTCCCCTGAAGTGTTGATATAATCTCAGCAGCTTATCTCCATTCAATTTGAGGAGTTATAAAAATGAGCTCCCTGGAACGGTGCCCTTCAGCTCTCAGCAAGTGGCGTAATTGCCAGGGACCCCAGATAAGAGGTCATGGGGCCAGGACTGCGCATGTTGGGGTCAAGTTGCCGCTGGTGCCTTTGCTTCAGAAACACGCCTGCTCGTGTGGGTGGCAAGTGGCAGCCCTGCCCCAGCGGCCTGTCAGGCCCTCGCACTCACAGGAGAAAATCCGAGATGCAAAATCAGGGGCGTCCCCCACCCCCGCCCCCGGCTGATACTACGTGTTAAGCAAAAATGTAAAGAAAAAAATCTCAAACCACAAACAATCATGGTTTTATTCTTATAGGAACTCTTTTTCCTTTTTTTTTTTTTTTTTTTTTTTTTTTTAACAATTTTTTCCTTTTTTTTTTTTTAACCAATTCTAGCCCTAAGGGCAGTTCCGAAGAATCGATCATTCTAAGAACAGCCAAGTTAGGGCCGGCTTTTCAGAATGAAAGATGTTTTCAAACCATGAGTTTCATTTCACGTCCTCAGTGACCTAGTATCTTATGGCAATGGTTTTATTTTACAAACAAACAAACAAAAACCTAATTCTGGGAAAGACAAACATCGTAAGAGGCATCCTTTACTAAACAAAAGCTATTTTGAAATACTGCTACTGCGCCCCGGCTCTTGCTCAGGTTCACCCTCGCAAACAGAGGTGAAGGTATTTTAGTTGCAATCTGGGATTCACTGCTAAAGCGATCCTCTGAATATTTTTAAAAGCTTTGTTTTTGTTTTTTTGGAGAGGTTTTCGCTATAGGGCGCGTGCGCTCACCAGACAGACAGACATAGAGACAGAAAGTGAGAAATCACCCACCCGGGGGGATGGTCACACCGCAATCCCTCCTCCTCCATTCTCCTCTCAGGATCTTGGGCATGCAGGCACACGCGCCCGGCGTGAGTTCTAAGCCACCGGGACGCGAACCAGGGTCGACTATGTGGGAGTCCAGCGACATAGCCATTACGCTAACTGCTGGTTCCCTAAAAGCTTTGTTTTAATTGTCAGGAGGTCCCATGCGCTCCCCAGAGAGAGGCAGAGGGGAGGGAGAGGGAGAAGGCGCCCCAGTGGGGCGTGGTCACCGTGCAACCCCTCCTCCTCCTCCTCCTCCTCCTCCTCGCTCTGCCCCTTGAGACTGAGCACAGGCACACTTGCACAAGGTGCTTTTCAAGCCACTGGGTCTGGGAGTCAAACCAGTCAACCAGGTGGGGTCCAGCTCCCTTAACTACTAGACAACAGGGCCTGCCCCTGAATCCTTTTTTAATCAGGTA